GGGCCAAGGATTGTGCAAAGGCACTTATATCATTGTCTTCAGAGCTAGAAGCTTTGTCTTCTTCATCGCTCTCCAAGATGAGAGCCTTCTTTCCCTTCCTCCTTTATTCTTTGGATCTTCGCTCTGGTGGCTAGCTTGATCATGTCTCTTTTGAATGACCTTTGCTTTCTGCACCTTTTGTTCTTGAGCTTGCAGAGTCCCGTAAACATAGTGCAACGTCCATTGCTCCAGATCTTGGTTCTCCTAGAGAGGCATCGTTAGGTTTCCCCATTCTGCATTCAATCTCTTCAAGAAGAGCATGTTGTTCTCCTCTTGAGTTTTGATCACATCACACTTGCGACATTTATTGATCAGAGTGTTGAACCTGTGATAAGTCTATTCTAAAAACTCATCGGGAAGTGCCTGAAAGCTGTTGTACTCGTTCAAGCATTGAGCACGACGATTCTTCTTCATCTTTATACCTCCTTCCAATTGGTTTGCCAGTTGATCCCATAAATCCTTGGCAGAGTCGCACGCATCAAGAGATTGAAAAATCTCATTGGGAAGTGCCATGATCAAAAGCCTTTTGGCTTTCTGATCCACTTCCACTCTGCGTTTGTCTTTATCATTCCAGTCACGACGAAGTTTGGGTACTCGCCTGGCAGGTACCTCAACCGTATCACCAGCAGCATGAATACGAGGGATGATGGTGGTAGGGACATATGGGCCATTAAAAATTGACTCGTAAAGTTCGAGGTCTAGACCCTCATAAAAGTTTATCATCTGAATCTTCCATTGGGGATATTCTTCCCTAATGAGAGTCATAGGTTGTTGGTCCCGTAAGGGTCTACATGAATAGAAACAGTTTGTAGAAGGGGAAAGGATGAATACAAATACAGTATTTTCAAATTTAAAATATATATTGATAGAGAAGATCAATACAGATTTTACAAGATTGTTTGCGGAAAGATAAAGTAATGAAAACCTATCTAAACAATCTTTGGTTACACATAGAGCTTTAGCAAATACAAGAAAAGAGAATGCTAAAAGAAAGATCCTTTACTTAAGCTAGAAAATGCTTGAAGTAAGAATAAGCTTAGAGAGAGATGCGCGCTCTCTGCATGGAGATGAAACACTTCTATTCATACCCAGCGCATTAAATGATCATTTAATGAAATATGGTAGGTTTAGAGTGCGTGTCAAACCTTAAGAGGAAGGTTTGTCCTTTGCTATAGTGAATAGTACAAAAGCACTATTTCTGAGCAGACATCCTTGCCTAAAGTTGGTGGACAAAGAGTCGACTAATCAGCTCCGTACCGTACTAACTTTTGTAAGGGTATGGGTTTGTCCTTTGTGTGCATAAGGACAAGACAACAACAATCGTGCTAAGCAAGCTTCCTTTGATCGCTGAATGCTGGAATGACCTGGAGGTGTCATCATCATTCGCTRAAGCTAGAGCAGTCTTCACACATGTATAGACAGGCTTGTTATCGTTGAATACCGCTTCAGATCACGTACTCGCCAGTCTCTAATCTTTAGTTTCAGTCTTCGACGTTTGCTGAAGGTTCTTTGGTGTGAGTGTTGTYTTCTTGAAGTATTGTTGTCTCTGAATAATTTACAATGCGAGTTCTTCAGCGATCACTGAACATTCTCAGTGTATTGATTGCTGGAACTGAATACAGAAACACAAATACAACGTGAAAGGGAAAAGGGATTATCATCAAATCACTGAGAGAGAGGATCAACAATCTCCCCCTATTTGATGATAACAAGATAACATAAAAAAGGTTATCTTATCAAATAATAGTAAGGAAAAGTTACATATAAAGTATATGTCCCTTTTTACTATTTTGGGATCTTTTTCATTTTGGTCAGTCTTAGCTTGAGAAGTTTTCTTAAGTTATATCTAAGAAAATTACAAGTACGGAAACTGAAACTGAAAGCTTATTCACTGACTTATAGATTGTCAGTGAATGGATAAAGTAACATTGGAACTCATAGACTTGTGTCCCTATTACTTTTTTCAGGGATCTTTTTCAGTGAAGTACGTGGAATACTCATTATATTAATCAATGGAAATAATACAAGTATTACAGTACATCTTCAGAACTTACAGAATATAAATACAATCAATGAAAAAAGATATAGTACATGAAGTTACAAGGAAAAGTGGATTGTTGTTACAAAGATAATCTTATTCTAGAACACTTAGATCTATGTAATCAGGTACATTTTCACCAAGGTTTTCTTCGACTTAGGAATTACCTTCGTATCTTCAGATCGACGACTTTTCCAGGCATGCTATCATCTATCAAGAGCAAAAGATAAGTCAAGTGATCCATTGGACATAGATGTAGCTCTGACATTCTCTGAAATCTGACTTCACCTTCATAGTCAAGGAATATAACTCCTAACTCACATTTAAAATGCACAGAGTTGGGTGTATAGGGACGCTTATCTGGCAAGTCAGGATTAATCATAGAAATGTCAGTACTCATATGACCCTTCAGGACTTCATCTAAGGAGAACGTTGTTTCATATTCGTTACTTAGGAATGGTCCATCATTAGGATCAGAGAGCTTTAGTTTCTTCTTCCCACCTTTCTTCAGAGTTGCCCGGTCAGGGACCTTGACATACCTGGACATCCTTTTGATGAGCTCGTTGATGGTGTCCTTGATAAGTGTCTTGTGTCTCGACTTAGATTATTGAATGGCTTGTCTGATCTCCATCCATTCGTTGTATCCATAGTGACCAACGTAGGAAGGGTACTCTGTAACATCATCAAGATTGTCCCTGGTGATGAGCATTGAGACCAGTGTTCCACCGTCTTTAGATCGTCCGCTGATGCTGACGCTGATGATTGGGCGGGGACTGAGTCTCTTTTTTAGCTTTGCTTCGCTCCATTGCTTATCCTTGTCCTCTAGCTTCTGCTCCTTGTTTGGTTCAGCTTCTGCCATTGAAAGAAGTTTAGCTTGGGCTTGGACAGGATTCACCGTTCTCTTGGACTTTTTCTTGGGAAGGACTTTAGGAGCTAGTGACATGGCTAGCCTTAGGCTGTCTTCAGTCTGCTTCTTTTGAAGCTCTAGCTCTTCTT